AAATTTTTACCTATAATTTTTAAAAGAAGCCAATTTCTAAAGGTACAAACGTTTCGATTCCTTTCGGACCCTCCTCAGTGTGACAATAATAATTTAATAGAATATATTAAAGAAATATTCGAATAAATAGATAAAAGATAAACATAAAATAAACGGGAAGTAGCACTATATAGGTCGAATGATAAAATTAAACATCGATATCGCGGTCGAGTCGGAGAAGATAACCGATTTAAATTAAAACTAGATAATACGCCAAATTAACTCAAAATTCTTTTGTGACGCAAGACGTTGTCTATTCATTCTAAAATTCGTACGATGTTAAGCCGTTACATTCCTCACTATCCTCCGCAATAGACGATGATCTGTTTTTTTAATTTACAATACTATTTGTTCCTCGCAAAACCGTTGACCACCAAACTCACACTCAAACATCCCATCGAAATCTATCCTGTATGACACAAACAGTATTGTACATTAAAAAAGCAGATCGTCGTCTATTGCGATGGATGGTGAGGCATATAATGGTTTAACATCGCATGAATTTTAGAATGAATAGACACCGTCATACGTCGCAAAAAAGTTTTGCGTTAGTTTGACGTATTATCTAGTTTTAATTTAAATTTTATCGTTACCTTCACCGACTCAACCGCAATATCGATGTTTATTTTTACAATTTTATCATTCGATCTATACAGTCCTAACAAGGTCCAAACGTTTGTACATTTAGAAATTGTTTCTTTTTAAAAATTATAGATTTATGAGACACGTAATACCATCTGCGCTCTTCTTGGTCTTCAACAAGCTCTCTTTATTATTATTATTATTTTTGATTTATCATTTGGATCAATTATACGTAGATTTATATTTTTAATTTTTTTGATCCTTGATAAATATGTAATACTTGTGCAATTATGAAGATTTTCACCATTTTCTCCATTGCCTAATCATATAAATCTCTAATTTTGTCTTTATAGAGAAATCAGTTCTACTAAAGCATTAATTATGATCATTAATCATGTATATTCTGAACAACAAATTAATAAGGTAAATTTTTTAAACATGTATGTATACGCATGTACATGCACACATATATAATTGTTTATTAATATCTTGTTTTGAATCTGAATTATCAATGTATATGCCGTCTATCTGAAAATATTTTAGATTTATTTGTACTGTAATATATGTATTAGCATAGCCCATTATGGGAAAAGATCGGGACTTTTATTTATAAATTATAAAGCTTTTTCTATTCTTATTTTTGTTAATTGCATGTTATTTTCATTTATCTTAAACTCAACGCAATTTCAGAATGAGTATTAAGCAGATTCTCTTCTTATTGGTTTTTTCGAAGCTGTTAATAATGTGTAAAAAGGAGAAGAGATTACATTCCATTATGTGATCTATTTTATACTAATGTACATATTACATAATACTATGTAATATGTAGGAAGCTTTTAACTTAATTGATCTTTTCTTACATCAGTCTAAAATCTTATCAGACAGATGTTCATTGTATAATTATAGTAAAGAAAAATTTGATGCTATTAAATTTTATTCTTATCAGGCAAAATTACCACTTACATATTAATCTAAAAAATAATTTTATTTATTTTAGATAAAGAAATACATCAATTTGAATTTTAAGGGTAATCCAGAATTTACAATTCGCTATGAATTTTATAATGATCAAAGCAATGACACGGTAAATTTTAGAAATTTAAATATATATATTTAGTTATGAATTTCTTGTTATTAAGTATATTAATTTACATTTAATTTTATATTATCTAACTATTATATCTTATGCTAATTATGCTAATAGCCAAAAGTTTTGACTGACTTTTATACATTATTTATTATTATATTTTATTTATTTTTATTTACTGTTTTATTATATTTTAACTATGAAAAAAAGATACTGTTGAAATAAATGTGAAAATAATCCGTTTTAGATAGATGAATACGTTCTCTTTAATGATAATACGGAGAGTATAAACCGCAAGATAGAACTACGTTGGCATCAAATAAGGACTCAGCTGCACGAATATCGATATCTTATAGGAGAGTACGATGATACTTCTAAAGCTTCTCGGTGATATTTCTAGCTAATTAATTGATCAATTAAAAGAAGATAAATGTAATGCATGCACATATTTACTTTTAACATATGAATAATTTTTATGTTTTTATTTATTAATTTTGATTAAAAATATAGAATCACGAATAAAACGAGTGACATGATACAATAATGACAATAAAGCGATTGAGTCATAATGGAATAAAAATTAATGAGTTTTATTGAAGCAGGTAGTAAACATTATCGCGTCTTCTTTCTTTTGTGAGTTTTTTAGATATTTCTTACATTATATATTTCTTACATTAATAGAAAATGAATTAGAGATTTTAAGTTTATATTAAAATTAAAAAGCTCAAATGTTACACGTTTAGCATATTATTCGAGAGAATTGATATAATATAATTATTCATGATCTATTAGATATGTATGTCTATGTATGTGTAAACTTGTAATGTGAAAAATTTGATGAACACAAGAGAATTTTTTATCTATAGATGTTATATTTTCTTTCTATTCATTAGATTAAGATATATTATCTTAGCGTGTGTTCATGCGATACTAACAATCTGACATATAATATTATGAAATGTATTTCTTTTTAGACTTATTCTTTATTCTATTAAGTTCTATTAATTTCTTTCTATTGCTTTTATTATAAAAAAAGTATTATTATACATTTTCAGACAATCAATATATTAGAAGTATTTACTTACTATTTTACTTTAATATGTTAGAAGTATTTACTTACGTTAATCATTAAAGTGTACAAACGATGACAAAACTAATAAAAAAATTGTGCACAAATTGTAATATTTTTACCATGTAAATTAATAATAACAAATATGTACTCATTTTTACTTTTTAATTATTTTTAATAAATTATTTTTAATAAAAGGATTATATTTTTAATAAATTATTTTTAATAAAAGGATTATTATAGGCAATTATTTTTAATAAAAGGATTATAAAAATTATGAATATATTTTACTGTTTCTACGATAAAAAAATGTCTATGTTAATAATGTCTATAAAAAAGATTTAGGCCTAGAAAATAAAAAGAATAAAGCATTAGGTGACTTCATAATTTGAGAAATATGTATTTAAAGTAATTTTAATATAAAGTTTTATATTAAAATTCATGGTTCAAGTAGTTTATAAAGTTCTAAATCATGAATATTTCAACGAAAAAAGATTTAAAAATAATTTTTCAAAATCACTTCTTAAAATTTCATAGGAGATATAGTATTTTGGAATTTTTACAATAAAGAAAAACTGAATGATCTCCCCGTACAACTTATAAAAATATACGCTATTAATGAAATTTAAAATTACATCTCCTCCTTAAAATTCTTATCCGCATCATTAAACTTTTCTCATTCATTATGTTAATTCGTTTCAGAATGTCATTCTTTTTCAGAGAAGATTATCCATTATTATCCATAATTATCTTATTGTTAGTCGAAATTCCTATGTGTAGGTACTCTGGAGAAAAACTCCATCGGTTTTATTTTCGCATCCACTTCAAAGAAATTAATTTCGATCTTTGGCATTGGATTTCTATAAGTGATTTTTATTGTATTATATATTTTATTGTAAAGCATCTTTCTTATATCTCGATTTATATCAAAAGAAAAATTTATTATATAATAATTATAACATCTAATTAAAAATCCAATAAAAAATCTATTATATAATAATTATAACATAATAGAGAAAGAATATTAAGCTAAATATTATCCTGATGAATTATTTCTTTTCGACTGATCTTTTACATTTCCTTGAAATATACACATATCTGTAGGGTGTCTCCTGTCAAAGAATGGAAACTAATTTAGATTATATATATATATATATATATATATATATATATATATATATTATATTTGATATTATTATTGTTAGAAGCACTTTTAAATGTACTTCTTAAACTTAATAAGAAAAATTTAATTAGCAAATGTGTATGTAAATTTCTTTAAATATATTAACATTAAATATATATAACAGTTCTAATGTGTGTTGCTAATGTGTGAGCATTTCTTGATTATTTTTTCTTGATAAATATTTGTTACGTTCAGACTGAGGAAAAACTGGATAAGTATATGTTTTAATCCTTCTAATTAATACCAAGATTTTCTAACGTGATAAATTATTCTCTTAATTCGCATGCATTTGGTGATTCTAAAGTTATTTTAATGTCAAAAATCAAACATTTTATAATAAGATCTCGATCTTTATAATGCATGTAACATTAATATTTAAAAATTTTTAATTAAAATATCTTTGAAAGATTAAGAATTAAAATTATGTTTCGAAATATTAAGAACTTTGAGTCTATAACTTTTGATCCTTAGGACTGACAGAACACTAAATAATTGCATATATGTATAAGAACATGTAACATTAAAAACTTGAAAAATTCAAAATTAATCAAAAACGTTATATTATATCTTCCTTGTACATATCTTTTATTGATATAATATTTTATCATTTATGTAATAATAAACAAAAGTACGAAATTATATACGTATTATGCGACATAATTTGTATAATTTATTTCTACCTAATTTTTCTTTTGTAACGTGTTTTTTATTCTTTTTTATAGAGTAAGAAAATATTGATTTTGGACATTGAATATCATAAATCTACAACAAAAGCTAATAAATTAAGACGCAAATAGCGATGGATTGTTTGTTCATGAGAGAAAATATAAAAGAGAAAATAGAGAGAATAAAGAGAATAGAGAGTATAGAGAGATATACAACTTTTTAATTGTTCTAAAACGTATGTTAGAATTACTTTAAAATTAAATATATAAAGCAATAGAGTTAATTTAATGTGACATTTTATTCTGTTTATTGACTGATAAGGCACGTATTAAATTGATATCTTATTTTGAGACTTTCAAGGTTGTTTTTATAACATGTTTATTATGATATCACGTGTGGAACGTTGGCATTTCTCGATAATCTTCCAGAACAGCAAGATCAAGTTAATGCAGGTATATTTTTGATATTAATAATTCATAATACTAAAGCAATTAAATAATAAGTCATTTAAGTTAATTATAATTTACCACACATAAGAGTTTTATATATTACTACATAAGTACTATATGTGTTAAAACTTGATAAATTTGAAAAATGATTCTTTAAAATCGATATCATTTTTTGCACATTTTTACTGGAATAATATTTTAATATTAATTGCAATACAAAATATAACATGTAACATATATTACACGACATATACAATATTGTAAAATTCATTTCTGTTGAGTTCTTCTCTCGAAACGTATTTTTTATTCTGTTTATATGAAATTGTTTATAGAGAAAGAAAATATTAATTTTAAACATTTAATATAAAAAAGTCTACATCTTAATAAAGATATAAATGGAGATAAATTATTTGCTTAGAAGAAAGAAAATGAAAGTAAGAAATACAAGTTCATGATCAAAACGTTTTCCAAAAATAAATATTTCAAAATCAAATAACGCGAGAGTTAATTTAATCAAATGTTCACACTTTATTATTTATTTATTATTATTTATTTATTAAATTGGATTTCACACTACTTTAATTTTGAAAGTCGTTCTAATGATATGTTTATTGTGATTTCAGATATCGAACGTTGTTATTTCTCGGTAATTTCGCAGAAATCAAATTAATACAGATATTTTTGTCGATATTAATATTATGTATTAATTTGTCGATATTAATAATATTTATAATACGTATCAAATCAATAAGCTAACAACACTTAATTATTATCAAAAAATTAATTCTTCATCCGTAAACAACTATACGAGAGATGAGTTATCATAAAAGAAGATACCTATATAACCGTTTTAAAGATAAATAAAATGTGTACATTATATACGTTGAGGACAATATTTAAATAATTTTGAAGTATAATCACACAAAACAAGTATCATTCTTTTTGTCAAAAGTACCAGTCCTTTTCAAAATTATTAAAGAGAGATAGAATTTTAATTTGTAACATATATTATTATATTCCTTTTGAAATAAAAAACTTAATTTAATTTAAAATCAAACGTTTTGTAAAGCAATTCTTTATTAATTATATAAGCGTGATAAAACTTATGAATTTAATATATTCCATTTGTTAAAAAATATTAAAATATTATAATCTCTTCATCCTAAGACTTATATATTATTAACAAAAAATGATATTTTTACTTCATTTGTTTTTATACGTAACAAAAGCAATAATTAAAGCAAATTCTCATTATTTTATATATATATATATATATATATATATATATATATATATATAACACGCGCGCGCGCACACACACGCACACACACACACACATATATATATTATTTTATTTGTTGTTTTTTTTTCAAGAAGAAAATATGCTTATTTAAGACGAATGAGAGAGAGAAAATAAGTGACATGACATTCCTGAAAGTATTAAGTTGTAGTCTAATATTCATTGTCGCCGCGGCTTCTCTTATTGATGCACAATTGCCCGTACAACGCATTTTCTTAATGCCACTACAATATAATATTCACTTTGTACTATATGTCAATGCCAGTACCTTCCACGGCGAATACAATGCCGGCATTAATATTTCTCATAAAACGCAAGATATATATTTTTATACAGAAAATTTGTTTATAATTAAAGCTATTGTAACAAACAATACACAAATACCTAAAGGAAATGAGAAGAAAGTTTTCGCCCATAGGCCGAAGAAATTTATCTATGACACTGAAACATATGTAACCACCCTTTCTTTTCCGTATAATTTATCATCAGGATTTTACACTTTGAATGTGGAATTTTCTGGTCTTTTAGCTGAAGATGGAGGATTTAGAATTTACAAAAATAATCAAAATGATAGAATGTAAGTAGTTTAATGCGTTAAATAATTTAGACGTTACAAATATTATTCTTGCTTCAATTTTTGCAAACTGTTCGTATTGTTATTATTACTATGATGGCATAGTTTTAACATATATATATGATTTAATAAATTATTATTTAAAATATTATAATATAAAAAGTTTTCTTATGAATTTACAAAAAAAAAAATATCATAAAAAATGAAATTTAACAAAAAATATATTCCTATAATTAATTCATAAAAATAGTTTGTATAAGTATATAAAAAAAAAAAAGTATATAAAAATTATATTAAAAATTTATTAAGATAGATATTATATACAGAATGATGAAATTTAATATAAAATACGCTTTTTTAACATATTTTATTAATTATTTCATTAATTATTCTTTTAACACTATTTTTAAAATTCTTAATATAGATATGTATATTTTCTATTTTTCTTTCTTCCTCTTTTAATTTCTAATGCTTTAGCAGTATCTGAAAATATTTTGTTATTTAAAATATATTGTTATATGTGCTTGTGCTAGGTGGTTGGCCGCAACACATTATCACACATTTGCGACTCGAAGATTATTTCCACTTTTGAAGGATGCTGAGTTTGCTAGTTATAACATTTCTATAAAGCATCCTAAAAGCTACGTAGCTATATCAAATGTGCCCCTCCTAGAAGAAAATATGGATAAAAATGATATGCAATGGACACGCTTCAAACCTACTCCCTTGATACCTGCTTATTTCATAGCGGCTGTTGTAGCTCATCTCGCCGTTATTGTAGAAAATAGAAGTACCAAATTGTGGTGCAGAACAGACATAATACCACATGTGCAATTTGCATACATAGTTGCTACAAATATTGGGAACTTCTTAGATAAGTTTTTATATATCAAGGAAAGTTCGGAAAGAAACCATATCGTGATTCAGAAATTATTAGGTGAAGAAGATATAAAATTGGGATTTATTCTTTATGGGTAAACATATTTTGATTAAAAAACTATGTTAATTTCTACATTAAAACATAATATTATATTATTTTTCTCTATATATTCAATATTATAAAATTGGATATCTATATGTGTATACGTAATTAAAACACATATAAAATATTCTTTATTATTTCTTTCCTTTTGCAATTTTTTAACTGTATTTTGAATGATGTCGCAGTTGCAGAATCTGATTAACACACGAATTGATTTTAAAATATATTTAAGCTCTTAAAGAACTAATCTATTCTAATGATTCTCTCAATAGTATGTGTCTAATGATTGTACAAACATCCTTAAGTTAGCGATCGATAACGTAAGAAAAAGATTCCCGACTTCATTGTAATATTTGTGAATTATTTTTAGTGAAGAAGATATTATCTATAACGAAAAAATAGATTCTGAGATACGCAAAATTGAAATAACTCGAGTAATAGCATATAAAGTGGTGTACGAATGGTTTTATAATGCAATGAGTCCATATAAGTGGGAACCATGGTTAATCAAAGGTCTTGCTATGTTTTTTGGAATTTACATTGCCGATAAGGTTATTTTATATTTAACGTCAATTATTTTAATCACACACACATAATCGGGGTAATATAAAAATATTTATATTTCTATAACGATAATCAGCCAAAACTTAACACATAAGCAACATTAAATTAAAATATCATAATTTATATATATTGAATTTAATAATTAGAGATTTAGCTCAAGTAATCAAAAAATTAAAAAGAAAATGGCATAAGAGCGGTAATTGGAGCACAGAAAAGCAACAACACTTCTTTCTTTTTTCAATAATATTAGTTTATTAAAAAACCCATATTATAATAACAAAAAATGAACGTTTCGGATTATTTTTTATCCTTCTTCAGCACGATGTTAACAATATATATATATATATATATATATATATATATATATATATATATATATATACAGGGTGACCCATTTTAACTTAGGCAGCCAAATAACTCGAAAAATAAGCACACTACGAAAAAATGGTTAGAATCAAAATTTCGTCATTTCGAGGGGGACGTACAATGACGTTAAAATCACCCCTCTCCCTGGGCGGTGAGGGGGGGCAAGTTTGAAATCTTAAATGGGAACCCCTATTTTTTATTGCATATTCTTGTAGCTTATCTCGAGAGTTTTCCAAAACACTATAATTAAGTACCTTTTTATTAAGTACTTTTTGAGTTATAAGGCTTGAAATAATTTCTTAATTAATTTTACATAAACTAATTTTACATAAACCATAAAATATCTAGTAAACCATTCATTTTTCGATTATCTTACCTTCATACTTTTATGTACAAAATAATGAAAGGAATCAATTGGTGTAAAGAAAACACATTGTTTCTAAGAAAAAATATGTAATTTGCAATTAACAATTCCATATTTTTTCTTAAAAACAACTGTATATTTTCTTTACACCAATTGATTCCTCTCATTATTTTGTACATAAAAGTATGAAGGTAAGATAATCGAAAAATGAATGGTTTATTAGATATTTTATGGTTTATGTAAAATTAAGAAATTATTTTAAGCCTTATAACTCAAAAAGTACTTAATAAAAAGGTACTTAATTATAGTGTTTTGGAAAGCTCTCGAGATAAGCTACAAGAATATGCAATGAAAAATAGGGGGTTCCATTTAAGATTTCAAACTTGCCGCCCCTCACCGCCCAGGGGAAGGGGTGGGGGGGCTGATTTTAACGTCATTGTACGTCTCCCTCGAAATGACGAAATTTTGATTCTAACCATTTTTTCGTAGTGTGCTTATTTTTCGAGTTATTTGGCTGCCTAAGTTAAAATGGGTCACCCTGTATATATATATATATATATATATATATATATATATATATATATACATACATATATATATATATATATATACACATACATACATACATACATACATACATATATATATATATATGTGTGTGTGTGTGTGTGTGTGTGTGTGTGTGTGTGTGTATTTATTTATTACAGATAGTGCCGCATTAAATTAAACAAATTTGTTTCTTGAGCATCCTGCGGAGGTCTAGTAAGTGCCCTGCTTCCACGAACAGTTCATCGTCGAATCTCGAATTGATATGAGGCGCACAGCGATATACTATATTATTAATTGTAAAAAGCGCGGAATCTGATTTGCTGTGACGTCACACAGTATAATTATAGTATATTTTATTGACTTTTGGAAGCAGGGTGCTTACTAGACTTATGTGGGATGCAATTTGACGTCACTTATGCGTTGAGAAATAAGTTTAATGTAACACGTCACTCTATACATATATATTGTTTAACATCGTGCTGAAGAAGAATATTGACGTACATACTTTTAAATAATTTTAAAAATACTTAATTTGAAATGATATCATTGAATATCATTAGATACTCGAATATATTTTTTGAACTTAATAAGAAATATTCAATGAAGGAATATTTGTAAATTTTTTTTAATATATTGTAACAATTCTAATGTGTGTTGCTCATATATGTCACCACTTCTTTTGATTAAATATTTATTTAACTATATTAAAATCCTTTTGCGCTCAGACATTTCCGGATCTTCGGATAAAAGATTTCTTTGTGATTCAAATGCAACATGATGTTCTTCATTGGAGCACCAAGAATATGTGGCCATTCACAAAAGAATCAAGATTCAATTCTATTGAAATTCCCCATTATATCAAGGGTAATCAAGCAAATAAATTATTGATGATAAATTCTAAATACTATATAAATAACGTTATAATCAAAGAAATAAGTTAATTATAATTTATTTATATTATTAATTATTTAAATATTGATTTATCAAAAAAGTATAATTAAAATTAACTTTTATTTATTATTCATATAAGTCAGTTATGTTTATGAATTTATATATCCAAGTCATGTATAGCAAATTCATTTTATACATACTACATTTTACTTTATGATGTCAATCTTCATAGCAAGTATTATGTTCCGCACGTTACAAATTTTATTTACCGAAGAGATGTTTGAAAGTGGTATGAAGTTGTATTTACAATACCAGTGAGTAATATATATAGATATCAATATATTTATACTATAAATTTAAATACATAATTTTAAATGATTTTTTAATTTTGCTTTTATACAAATTAATTTTTTTTATTTTTTAATTTTTAAAATTTTTTTATTTACGTTTATTTCTGGAACTTCCTTTATTCTTTTCTGATTTCTAATTTCATTTATACTTAATTTTTACTAATAATTTCAAGACTTGTTAATTTTACATTTCATTTTATTATATTTCTACTTATTAATATTGTTATTTTAAATTTCATCTTCTTGCAATTTTTTTTATATTCTTCCTTTATCTACATCTCTGATTTTATTTCTTGTTTTTTAAATTCTCTACTTATATTCCCTAATTTTTTAATTTTCTACGTATATTTTTTTAATCGTTTTATATATATTTTATTTTTTTCCGTGATACATCTATCTTTTTAATTACTATTCTATTTCTTCTTTTTCGCTATTTATTAGTAATAATTTTCTTATCGTTTCAATGCTATTTGATATAATTTATACTATCTTCTTTCCTTTCACTTTTACTCTGTTCTGTAAAAATCATAATTGCTTTTCGGGATTTCTCTTAAGATATTTTTTTTATTCATTTTTTTTATCATTTACTGCTTTGGATTTTTAGTTCCTCAAGCAGTAAAGATTTTTGGGACACTATGCAATCAACCATGGATAAATCAGATTTCAAATCAGAACTCAAATACAATGTAACGGATAAAATAGCTAGTTGGACACGACTAAATCATTACCCTGTGATTAATGTGAAAAGAAATTATAATAATAATTGGATGACTATATCGATAGAAAATTTTAATTATTTTGTTACATGGATATTTGTGAATATTACTACACAGGAGTATTTCGATTCGAAGAAATTGTTGACTTCAGTGTGGTTAAAACCAAATATTTCGTACCATGCAAAAATAGATTTCATAGATGAGAATTACTGGATATTGGCCAATTTACAACAAAGTGGTAAATATTGATCGATAAATTTGTTAGTTATACTTTTATGTATGTAGCTGCTCTTTGCACATTTATACATTTTCTTAAAAGTAATTACATGATTTCTTTACATCAATCGATTCCTTTCATTATTCTGTAGATAAAAGTATTAAGATAAGATAATCGAAAAATAAATATTTTACGAAATATTTTAGAAGGTTCATGTAAAATTTTGTGAACTTAAAGTATGATATATCTCGTGAATTATTCAATTTTAGGCTATTCTTATAACTTTTTACGAGGAATATTGTGAGTAATTGGTTTATATAATAGACAAATTACAATAGTTTTGTTTAAATATAAACTAGATTGTCCTTGACCCATACCCAAAGTTCAACTAACTAATATTATTATCTTCTTTTTCCCTGCAAATTCTACAACTTTCATTTGAAACATTTTTCTCCAAAACGCCTGTTTTCGAGTTATTATTATATGAAAGTTCTTAGATAATTTAATATATTATTTAAATTATAGAAATAATATAAATTTTTTCGGTGAATATATTAGTTATAGAGAGAGACAACATTTTACTTAAGAATCCAACAATGATTACAATTATTTAATAATTTATATTTAATAATTTAATTATTGTGTGATTTAATTATAATTATATTTAATTATTAAATATATTTACGATTTAATTTTAATTATCTATTTATTGTCTAATAATTTAATTATTGGATGATTTAATTATAATAATATGTTAGCGAAGCATGCTCTTCTTTGTTTATATTATTGAGTTGTAATGAAGGAAGTATGCTTAAGAAACATTGTCTTATTATTTTGCCTCATTTAAAAACTTGTACGATTCATAAAATATAATTTTCTTTTTATTATTATTGATTATCATGAATGTAGTTAAAATAAATTTAAGTTGACATAACTCTTTGCAGTTCTCTAAAAATATAGATTTATTACTGTGACATAATTTGATTTAATATTGAAAATTTACAATTTACTTCTTATAATAATTATAACTTTTAATACACAATTTTTAATACATTTTTTATACGTTTTGAATATAAGGAGCCAAGAGTATTTCAAATAATTCCTTGACAAATTCAATAAAAAGTTTAAATTAAATTACCGATAGAATTTATTTAACATTCGACAGGATGCTATCGCGTCAATTATGATGTCGAGAATTGGAAAAGACTTGTGAGATACCTGCACACTAATTCCTTCAGAAAAATACATGTACTCGATCGTGCTAAACTCATCGACGACGCATTTCACTTTGTGATGACAGGCAAATTACAACGTGATATATTCTTCAATATTTCACACTATCTATCGCAAGATACAGATTATATCGCATGGTATCCTATGTTCAAGAACTTGGAATATATATCGGGTTTCTTTGCATTTCCAGAAAGCTTATTTATAAAGGTATACATAACATTAAGATTTATGTAAATAAAAAAATGTGTGTTTCAATAATTTATATACGTTTATTTTAACAACATATATGACATTTATATTTTAAAATTATTTTTGATAAATTACAAATAAGTATACACAATGTTTAACCTTCAAAGATGCACGAAACAACATTCGCTTTTAAATTCTCATGCAATAATTTGTATACTACTAAGATAAGCAATAATTAAAATCAAATTATATTAATAAGGTATAATATAATCATGCAATTATTATTATCTTTTTAATCTTATAAAAACATTATTACATTATTATATTATTGGCATAGCTTTTTAAATAACAGCATATGTGCGGACAAACTTTTTTAATTTTTCTATAACATAATATATATTTTCTATAACATAATATTCTATAAATAAATATCTAATTATAAAATTATAAATAAATATAGAAATAAATTTTTATACATTATTTTACAATTTGTAGGCGGAAATAATACAATTCATGAAAGAGATTTTATGGAAATTACAATATCCCATTTTTTATCAAGATAAGAACCTTTATGGCAGCATTTTCAATAAATGTTTGAGACAAGATGCTGCAAAATTGTTATGCCTCGTGAATTATGATTCTTGTTTGTCGAATTCTAATACTGAATTGAAATCGTATCTCTTCTATCGTAACACATTATTATCATATAAGTAATTACAATTTGCAATTATTTCTCAATCACGATCATTTTATAAAAACATTTTATTTTGTAAAATATTTATGTAAATATCAAGATGTAAGATTATGGATTCTAATAATATATTTTTATTTTATTTTAAATATTGTAGAATTTGGCCGGAATGGAAAGAATGGACATTCTGCAATGGTTTAAAAATAGCCAATAACGATATTTGGATGCAAGTGTTTGATATATATTTGAAGGAATCAGATTCTAGTGTTTTAAAATTTTTATCCTGTTCCCAAAAGCCTTCATTTATTCTCCAGTATATACATTTAATGACTAATATGACAAATGTAACAGCTATCGATCGTATAAACAGTTTTTGTACTATTATTGCGAGGCATGCAAGGACTACATTATTTCAATTCATTTTAGATCATTTAATGGAAATAAAACCAAAGTAATGACCTTTTTATATATATGTATCAATAACAATAACAATAACAATAACAATAACAGTGACAGTGACAGTGACAGTGACAGTGACAGTGACAGTGACAGTGACAGTGACAGTGACAGTGACAGTGACAGTGACAGTGACAGTGACAGTGACAGTGACAGTGACAGTGACAGTGACAGTGACAGTGACAGTGACAGTGACAGTGACAGTGACAGTGACAGTGACAGTGACAGTGACAGTGACAGTGACAGTGACAGTGACAGTGACAGTGACAGTGACAGTGACAGTGACAGTGACAGTGACAGTGACAGTGACAGTGACAGTGACAGTGACAGTGACAGTGACAGTGACAGTGACAGTGACAGTGACAGTGACAGTGACAGTGACAGTGACAGTGACAGTGACAGTGACAGTGACAGTGACAGTGACAGTGACAGTGACAGTGACAGTGACAGTGACAGTGACAGTGACAGTGACAGTGACAGTGACAGTGACAGTGACAGTGACAGTGACAGTGACAGTGACAGTGACAGTGACAGTGACAGTGACAATGACAATGACAATGACAATAATAATAATAACAATAACAATAATAATAATAATAATAATAATAATAAGCAAATCTTGTTTAAGACCAAGAAGAGCGCAAAAGTTATTGCGTGTTTTTTAAATCTATAATTTTTAAAAGAAACCAATTTCTAAAAGTACAAACGTTTCGATTCCTTTCGGATCCTCCTCAGTGTGATAATAATAATTTAATAGAACATATTAAAGAAATACTTGAATAAATATATAAAATATAAAAATAAAACAAACGGGAAGCACTGTCGAATGATAAAACTGTAAAAATAGACATCAATATCGTGGTCGAATCGGTGAAAGTAACCGATAAGTATACTATTTATCGAATACTAAATATTTGTTTCTCGCAAAAGCGTTGGCCATCAAACTTACGCTCAAATATCCCATTGAAATCCATCCTGCCATGACACAAACAGCATTGTACATTAAAAAAACAGACCGTCGTCTATTGCGAAGGATGATGAGGAATATAATGGTTTAACATCGTATGAATTTTAGAATGAATAGACACCGTCTTACGTCCCAAAAAAATTTTGCGTTAGTTTGGCGTATTATTCAGTTTTAATTTAAATCTTATCGATTACCTTCGCCGACTCGACCGCGATATCGATGTTTATTTTTACAATTTTATCATTCGATCTGTACAATCCTAAAGGGGCACAAACGTGTGTATTTTTAGAAATTGGTTTCTTTTTAAAAATTATAGATTTATAAGCCACGCAATATCACTTACACTCTTCTTGGTCTTAAACAAATTCTCCTTATTATTTCATTATTATTAATTTATTATTTAGAACAATTATACGTAGATTTATATTTTTAATTTTTTTGATTCTTGGTAAATATAATACTTGTACAATTATGAAGATTTCCTCCATTATTTAATTATATAAATTTATACTTTTGTTTTTATAGAGAAATCAGCCTTATTAAAGCATTAATTATGATTATTAATCATGTATATTCTGAACAACAAATTAATGAGGTAAATTTTTTAAACTTATATGTAGATTTTTATACACATGTACACACATAATTGTTTATTAATCTCTTGTTTTGAATCTTAATTAACAATGCATATACCGTCTATCTGAAAATATTTTAGATTTATGTGTACTGTGATATATGTATTAAAATAGCCGATTATTGACAACATCGGGATATTTATGTAAATTATAAAGCTTTTTCTATTCTTATTTTTGTTAATTGCATGTTATTTTCATTTATCTTAAACTCAACGCAATTTCAGAATAAGTATTAAGCAGGTTCTCTTCTTATTGGTTTTTTGGAAGCTATTAATAATGTGTAAAAAAGAGAGGGAATTACATTCCATTATGTGATCTATTATATACTAATGTATATATTACATAATACTATATATAGGAAGCTTTTAACTTAATTGATCTTTTCTTACATCAGTATAAAATCTTATCAGACAGACGTTCATTGTATAATTATATTATAAAAAAATTTGATGCTATTAAATTTTATTCTTATGATACAAAATTACCACTTACATATTAATCTAAAAAATAATTTATTTTAGATAAAGAAATACGTAAAATTTAATTTCAAGATATCATACAGTTTCAGTAATCCAAAATTCAGAATTAGATATGAATTTCATAATGTAAACGATACGGTAAATTTTAGAAATTTAAATATACATATTTATATACATATTACTTACATATTTATTATTAATATACATATTTAATTATCAATTTCTTGTTATTAAATATATTTATACATTTATTTTTATATTATCTTAACTATCTTATGCTAATTATGCTAATAGCCAAAAGTTTTGACTGACTTTTATACATTATTTACTATTATATTTTATTTATTTTTATTTACTGTTATATTATATTTTAAATATAAAAATATAAAAATATAAAAATATTATAATAAATATAAAAATATAAAAAATTAAATATGTAAAGAAGATACTGTTGAAATAAATATGAAAATAATCCGTTTTAGATAGGTGAATACGTTCTCTTTAATGATAATACGGAGAGTATAATAATGGATATAAACCACAAGATAAGACTACGTTGGCATCAAATAAGGACTCAGTTGCACGAATATCGATATCTTATAGAAGAGTACGATGATACTTCTAAAGCTTCTTGGTGATATTTGTAGCTAATTAATTGATTAATTAAGAGAAGATAACTAAATGTAATGCATGCTCATATTTACTTTTAATATATGAATTGTTTTTATGTTTTTATTTATTCATTTTGATTAAAAATATACATTCACGAATAAAACGAATAACACGATACAATAATGACAATAAAGCGATTGAGTCATAATGGAATAAAAAGTTAAGGAATTTTATTAAAATAGGTAGTAAACATTATGACATCTTTTTTCTTTTGCGAGCTTTTTAGTTACTTCTTACAATTTTTCTAGTTTTTAAAGTAATAATTTTGTGTGCGATAATTAAAAAATAATATTTCTTTCAAGATGAATGTATTTATGTAATACATATATAAAGTATTTCACAATTACTAATTTTATAAAACATTCGTAAAATATTGATCATAAATTCAAAGAGTTAATAATTAATGATAATTATTTTTCTTGAATAAAATATGAGAGACGCGCTGGATGTAATTTTATTGTACTCTACATAAGAAAAAAATATATAATACAGTGTATTAAATGAGCGTCAAATAATCGTTACAACAGAATAATATCGATTGAACAATGCAAAAAGTAAAAAATAAACATCTCACTGACGCAAGGTATAAAAAGAAATTAGAAGAAAAACAGAAAAGGACATGGTTATCAAAATTGTAACTATAGTAGCTCAGTGATAATAAAAATGTATCTCAAACAATTTTTTATGATAATTATATTAACTCTAGAAAAAGAAGAGAGAAAAAATGATCAAGCAGATGATACATGATAAACTAAAATCAAAATAAATAAATAGATTAAAATAAAATATCAGAAATGCTGTACTGAATTAGATTTAACAAATTGATTTGAACTTAACTTAATTTCTTCGTCGAATTTAGAGTTTAAATAATTTTTTGTCAGATTGAATTCAATACAGATAGTACTGAGATTATTTTATTTCAAAAAATTGCAAATTAGAACAAATTGCATATTTTAGTCCTTTTATAATTAATAAAAAAACTTTTTAACGTAAAGAAGTAATTCATTCTCTTAATTCGAAGATTTCTAAGGCTTCTAAAAATCTTCTAACGTTCTAGAATGATGTCAATACTTTATGGTACTTGCTGCACGCAAGATAGCAGTAATAGTAGATCAGTTATCATATATGTATATATAGCGCAAATATTTGAAATCTGTAATTTGATGTCACTAATAAAAAATGAATTAACATTTATGTTTATATTAAAATTAAAAAGCTTAAATGTTACACATTTAGCATGTTATTCGAGAGAATTGATATAATATAAAATAATTATTCATGATCTATTAGATATGTATGTCTATGTATGTGTAAACTTGTAATGTGAGAAATTTGATGAACACAAGAGAATTTATTATCTATAGATGTTATATCTTTTTATTCATTAGATTATAATATATTATCTTAGTGTGTGTTCATGCAATACTAACAATATAACATATAATATTATGAAATTTGTTTCTTTTTAGAATTATTCTTTATTCTATTAATTTCTATTAATTTCTACTGCTTTTATTTTAAAAAGGTATTATTATATAGTTTTAGACAATCAATATATTAAAAGTATTTACTTATATTTTACTTTAATATATTAGAAGTATTTACGTTGATCCTTATATTGTGCTATAAGCGATGACAAAACTAATAAAAAAATTGTGCACAAACTGTAATATTCTTAATATAAAAATTAATACCAAACATGTATTCATTTTGTAATTTACTGTTATTTTTAATAGAAAGATTATAAAAATTACGAATATATTTTACTTTTCCTACGATAAATATATGCATATGTTAATAATAATGTATATAAAAAAGGTTCAGGCTTAAAAAATAGAAAGAGTAAAACATTATATAATTTTATACCTTAAGAAACATGTACTTAAAATAATTTTAATATAAAGTTCTATGATAAAATTCATAGTTCAAATAGTTTATAAAGTTCTAATTGAAATCATGAATATTCCAACAAAAAGAAATTTAAAAATAATTTTTTTAAATCACTTCACACTTTTATTCGATATTTCTTCATATTTAATTAACAATATTTAGCAATATTATCTGATGAGAGGGATAGCGATAAAATTCTTTTGTTAAAATGACAATTTTGTATAAGAACGCGAAAAGAACGAGCACGATATTTTCGCAATCATAATTTATTAATTTATTTTACTAATATTCAGTTTTGCGCGAGATATAGAATTTATAAATATAATAGATAAGTTTAACGGAAAGCGTATCATTAAATTTATAATAATTGACTCGCGATTATGTAACGAAGGCATTTGTCAAATTTTGTAAAGCTTTTATTTAATCATTAATTTAGCATCGAATTTTTATATTTTATATAAAAATTTTTCGATTTTATTAATGAACTCTTTGATATGAAAATACAAACAGTTACTTTTTTGTGAATATTTCAAAAATATATACTGTAGAAACAAATACTTTAATTTAATAAATTATTATTATGTTAATTACTATTATGCAATCATTATATGTATATTTTCGATAATTTTTCGTGTAATTTACGTTTAAGATTTTACAATCGTAAATACAATTTCATATAATATAATTATAGTCATAATTGTATTGTATTTTACAATTAAAATATCAATATCAAATTACTATTAAAATACAATTATAACTATTATATACAATTTACAAATTTATGATGCTATCAATGTCAAATAATAATATTCAATTTATTCAAATATTTAATAACATCAATAATTTGATATTGATAGCATTAACATTTGAATTTAATATTTAACTTGATACTTATATATTTTTAAGTTTTAAAATAAAATATAACATGTTGAGATAAATATTTCTTAAACGTTAATAATAATGCAATTTCTTTAATATTCCTGAAGATAATTTTGATAATTTAAATTTCATTTTTAATACATTTTTATTTTAAAACATATTATTTATTTTTACAATATTTTTAAAAATAAATTCAATTTAATTAAAATAAATTTAATTTACCCCTAAGATTATTGGAATATTAAAAGAAAGAATGAATCTTATCTAATAGCTAATAACCCTACTTTCTGATTGACTGAAATTATTCGAGATTTGTGGAACCTATTTCTAATCATCACCTAACCTAATCGAGTATATATTTTAATCACGTGCCCTAATTACGAATACATGCCCTAATCGCGTGTCCTAACCGCGTACCCTAACTGTGTGCTCTTCAGGCCAGTTGAACTTACCTTTCATTGATCCTGGCTATTTTCTTTCTCGATCTCTAATCAGAGATCGAATAAGGGGATCGAATAAACACTCGGGATAAACACTCCTTTTTTGTCGGATAATTACCGGCAAATAAGCGTGAAATATTTACGCTCATTTAGTAACGATCATTCCATTTTACAATCGTTCGTTAAATATTTGAATATAACTTTATTTTAACTGAAATAAAGCCAAATTACTACAAATTTTTATATATTTTATATTTTGGAATAAAATATAAAATTAATTTGTGTATAATTTTTATTATATTACAAATTATTTAATTAATTAATCATTTGACTTTATATTAAGTTAAAGTAAAGTTTAAAAACAATATCTACAAACAAATTCTACGATGTATGAGCTATAAGGAATTAGAAAATAAGTGCGCGTTATATGAATAAATTAGCATAAGAAATTGATAAAATTGATAAAATTGTAAATGCATGTTCTTTAGTTAATAAATTAGACAAAATCTTTATCAAAAAATCTTTTCTGATTTCTTCTTTTTTTAATTAATATTTTAATATATTTTTGTAATAGATGTAAAGCATTTCGAAAGAATTTATTAAAATTTATTTTATTTAATCCATCCTAGCTCATTCATTTTAAGGCAACGGATTTATCTACAATTTACAATCTACATCTTTATCTACAATCACTACGAATCCGTTACCGTAAAATTAAATAAAAGTTTTATTCACTCACCGGCACTGATGCGCAAGTTGCGGAGTTGTGTATCAAAGCTAGTTGTCTGTAACATACAAATATAAAATTCATTTATAATAATGCTCACAAAATGCAATTAATATTTTTAAAAAATTTTATCGCGTGGAATTTTATATCCGATGTGTAAAATAATAAGCAAATAAACACGTATGAAAAAATTTTATAAATTTTTGAAATTGTATTTTAAATAGAAAATTTTATATGACTTTTATAAAAATCTTTTTCTTTAATTCATTTAAGTAATAAGATCGAATTATTGTTCGTTTATAACAAGTTAACGACTTATAACAATTAATATATAAATAATAGATATTCACCATCAGGTTGCTCCGCCGATGTAAGATGCCTCTCCCAGGCCTCCTCCTCCTCTCATGTTGTTGGCGCGCGATACTTTTAACGACACTCCCGCACTCGCGAGCGACATTTTTATATCGCTATTTTCGTTATTTTACGCGCGATACTGAACGGCACTCCCGGCACTATTTCGATGCGATTAAAAATTTTATATTTGATCGCGCGATGTATATACTTAATATGTATATACCTTTAACGGCCCTCCCTAATATGTATATACCTAACGCGACGCGTTGACGAAGCGCTTGCCATCCGCGGCAAGTTGACGGCACCGACGACCCGAAAGGGTACTTAGCTTCTCATTCAGGCACCTTAAGATTTATCATAAATTGAAAAATTTAAGATAAACCTCAAGGCACCATCCAAGTACTAAGCCCTCCCACCGCGACAAGGTGTACCCCATGGGAGGGTTATATTATATATAATTTTATATATAATATAATACATAATTTGAAATTTATTTTGTAATATAGCACATTAATTTAAATTCGCAAATATAAACGATAAATAAAAATATAAAAGATAAAAGAAAATCTATTATATAGAGCAATGTTCAAAATAATTGATTTTAAAACTAATTGTTGCGCGCAATTAACTTTTAATTTTAAATAGATATATTTTAATGTTATAAATCGCGTAATTACAAAATAATTTATATTTCTTATAGATGTAAACTTTTAAAAATATAATACATAAAAAATTCTATTTATATATGAAATATTTAGATAAATATATTTATATATATATTATTATATTATTCTTTTTATTTATTATTATTTTTATTTTTTTTATTATT